ATGAAATTAGATGATTTTAATGAAATTAATGAAATGAAATTTAATGCACTTCAAAATCTTGACACGTGGAAAAAAGAAATGGCAGAATTTATTACAAAAGTTCATGATGAAAGTGTAGAAAAAATTAATCAATCGTACAATGGTTACACTATACAAATTGAGCAATTGAAACAGACGGATATGAATGAGTTGGAAATGAAAATAAATACGTGTCAAAAACGTAAAACGGTTCATCCAAATGATGTAAAAAATATTGAAGATGCATTACAGAATTTGACGTACTAATACGGCATTGAACAATAAAAATCTCACGAAATATGACAAATTTCAATAGTTTTTCTTTCACTTAGCGTATATTCGTTCACGGGTGTTTCCGTGGAGTATTCCTACGAAAAACTTAGGCGTAAATGAGACAAAAAAAATCATTAATTTACGCGCCTTTACAGAGTATTACTTTGGCATGAAATACGGTAAATGGAGGGTCTCAATAGGTATAACTTAGTACTTAAAGTTGGCGTCTCAATTCAACGATGAAAAGCGGTTTGTTTATCCTGTACAACTCGTCGCTTTTCATCATATACCTGATCTGCATTAAAAGCACTTCTGATATGCGCTTCTATGCGGTCGTTGAGATATAGCATCAATCCTGTTTTGTCGGTATATTTATACAATAGTATATGTGAATACATTTATTTTCGCCAGGAAAAAAAGATTTAGTTGACATCTTGCACATCAAATGAAAGCTCTTTGCATATACTGTCTGATGATGTTGTTTTGTAAAGGTAGAAGTATTGTTCTCTGGATCAAGATATGAAGCATGCAAAATACAAGAACTCTCCCGTTAGTGAGCAATCCACCTGTCTAATATCAACAATGAATAAACCACTATTCCATATTGTTCATTATATATGTTCTATATAATTTGTTATGTGTTTTCTTATTCTTTTGATCATGATGAAAGAAATAGCTTAATCCTCACTACATTCAAAGTTCTTCCCTTAATAAAGAATGTGTCTGTGTCATCTTCAAAGAATGACACATGACACACACTATATTAACGAAAGAAGTTTGAACGTAGCGAGGATTAAGCTATTTCATTCATCATGGTCAAAAGAATAAGAAAACATAAGGAACTATATAGAATATGTAAGATCTCTTCTCTACAAATTGGCTGTTTGATAGACTAGTATATCTTCTATACATTCAGTGATCGGGTTATTTTTGCACAATAAAGTAAATGTATTAAA